GCCTTTATAATTAGGAACTGTGGAAGAAAGTTGTTCAAAAGCATCCTTGGTTCCCCAGGCCTCCACTGTCATTGCCAGTACAGGTAAGATGACAATTATAATTCTGAGGAGAGCAGAGGTCACAGATTTACAAACCCTTATATCAGGGTGTAGACGCCTCCCTTGCCTGCAGTACCAGCTGTCATATCTTCATCCTGAGCCTACAATTCTGTAAAGGGAAGAATTCAGGTGAGTACTTTGTATTTCAATCCAAGAGGCAGAGTCAGTAAGGATAGAAATTTGGAATAAGAACTTATGTTTGAAAAGAGATTCTGAGATAGAAACATATCTATGAGGATGTGGGAAATAATAGGAAATGTTCCTTAACTATGAGCTGTGCCACTAAAGACACATGAGAGTCCCACTTCTATGCCAATTCCTGGTAGGTTCTAATGAATTGAATGAACTCCTTGCTGAAGATGAGTGTAGTGAATAATTACAGTTACAATAAAATGAGGCTTTATGTGCTTAAGGATGGTAGGAGTTACATGTAGCCTTTGTCCCACAGCCATACATGAATGAAAGGGCAATTAACAATATTATTACTGCTAACCACATGTTCATGCTAATGAGAAAGAGTGAAATAGAGTTTTAAGTATTACCTACTTCAGCATTCATTAATCTGAAATAATTTCTGGAATAAAAATGAGTTTTTAAATTCTAACTCTGTTGTATAAGTTACACTTAGCAGAAAGAGTAATTGTCATCTCTTGAAGACATATATGCCGGTTGATTATGCTGAAAGTGTGTTCCCACATGAATTTAGAGAAGCAGCATTTATGGAAAAGGAAACTTGTACTACCATGTGGTGCAGAAAATAGCTGTTATTATAAAACAAACTATGTATTGTTTTCTGTGTTTTAAAAATATTGTTTGGATATATGGCTGAATTAGTGGATTTGGCTCACTGACAGAGCATTTGCCTAGCATACGGGATGCCCTGCTTTTGATTCTCAGCCGCACAAAAAACTGTTGAGTTCTAGCATTTTTTTTAATGAGAATTACCAAGCCTAGGGTTCCACACATGCTACACAGAGATATATCACTGAGCCGTATTCTCAGCCTCAGTATAACAGTTTTTATATATTTATCTTATTTAGAAATAAGTCTCATGAGATCTACCACTTAAAAAATTTTTGCAGGTACAATATTGTTGATTATACTTACAGTGTCATAGAGATCTCTAGAAGCTTTTCTTCTTACTTATTTGGGACATTGTGGTTATTATTTAGCAATTCTCCATTCCCTTGCCCCTAACACCCTGTCACCAACATTTCACTCTTAGTTTCTATGACATAGAGTGCTTTAGATTTTATATAAACTTAAGATCATGGACTATTTCTTCATCTTTACCTGATTTTAAACAACATAATATTTTAAAACAGCATCCACATTGTCAACTACTGCAGAAATTCCCTCTTTTTATTTATTTTCCTGCTTATAAAAAGGCTGAATAATATTTAGCTCAATGTACACACATTCTCTTTGGCTATTTATCCTTTTAGGGAAAGTAGGATGCTTCCTCATCTTGGGTATTTTTTCTATTGCTGCAATTTACACTAGAGTTCTAATAACTAAGAGATTTTGATTTCAATTATTTTTCTTTGTACAAATACCTAGAAGAGTAATTGCTGTATAGGTGGCCTGGCTCTCTTCTTTGTAAATTATTCATACTGTTCCCTACCGGATCTATACTGTCATTCCTACTGACAGTGTACAGAGTTGCAGTTTCTCAAATTATGGCCACCCTTTTGTTGCTGCTGTTGTTGTTGTCATCATTGTTGGTATTTTTAACACCTGCTGAGAGCCATGTGATTTTTTATAGCAATGTATGGTTTTGTTTGTATTGCCCAAATTATTACTAATGTTGAGTTTCTTTTGTATCTCTGAGGGCCATTTGTATTCTACTTTTTGAGAAGTGTCTGTCCAACTTCGGTAGGTCACATGTTCATTGGAATAAAAGTTTCATGTTGTTTGAACACTTTTTTCACTTGAGTTGTAGAAGTTCATTATCCTATGATTTCAACATCTACAATGCTCAAGATTTTAGTTTCTCCACATCCATCATATTTATCGTCCTTGTGTTTTAATGTAACTCACCACACATCCTTCCTTGATGATAGTTCTCCTAAATTCATAGGAAAATATTAATGAGTGAATGATCTGTAATTGGTAATAATTTAGACTGTACCTACCACTATTTAAATGCTTATTAAAATTCCATTCATAGTAGTTTTATATCAGAGTAATATTACACTTAGTTTCCTAGAGTACTAGAAGCCATAAGAATTTTTCTCCTGTAATGATAACAAATGAATCTATAACCAAATATTTTTGCATCTGTCTTGTATGGAATACATCTAGCTTCTCAGGGCTAGTTTATTTTATAATTAAACTGTAAGTAGAGCTTTTGAACCAGCTTCCTCCTCTTCAAATTCTCATTCTTCTCTTAAATGGGATACAAACATAGAGACATCTCTTAACCTTTCTAAATCTAAATTACTCTTGTTTACAGGATTTGTGTCTAGCTACATAAAATACCATTATGAAAATTAAGAACAATATAATATGTGGAGAATTTTGGCAGTGAGTCATACTGTAAGTGCTACTTAAAGTTTATGCAATAAACTTTAGGATGTGTCCTGATAAAAATATTGGAGGGAACATTTGTCTTGCACAGTGGATTTCTCTTGATATGATCAATGTAGCTGACAGCTCATGTTTCCTCTTGGATGTTCAGCCCCTAAATATGAATATCAGTCACTAGGAATCAGCTGAACGGCCTCAGGAATTTGCAACCATAATGGTCTATGTATCTCAGAATGTGGATGGAAACATGAGGCATTTCTATCATCTTTACTATTTTGCCAATTTTTTTCATATGTAAGTGCCAACATATTCCACTGAATTGATTCTCAGACTTCAGTAATCATCAATAATTAATCAGTCTATTTTATTAAAGTGTCTCCAAGACACACCACTGTAGTCTGCACCAAGACTGGGAGATGTAGACTGAAGATTTCAAGGACTTTGGATTATAACTTTTGCACTGGAATCATCTGTGTATTAAGATATGTGTGTCATCATCATGAATCCTAGGGACTTCACACATGTAGCTCTCCAATAATACTGCATTGGGCATTTTAGTCTACTGAACTCCATTTGTCAAGGTGATCTTCCTATGTATATGATTGCCAAAGGTAAGAAAAACCATACCAAATTCACGAAGTTTTCAGGCAATATGCTTCTGGATTCCATGACAAAAATCAAAGTGTCACGGCTGGGGATGTAGCTCAGTGGCACAAGTGCCTGCCTGGCAAGTGCAAGGTCCTGAGTTCAATTCCCAGTACCAAAAAAATAAATAAATAAAAGCACCAAAAGGCACAACATTGCTGTTATTCTGGGATGCTTCTTGTTGGGACTCCTCATGTGTGACCGTGGTTCTATGAATTTTATCCTGTACAAAAAGAACTGGCAAGTGACACACATTCTAGTGTCATCAGCTCCCCCAGATATATTTTCACAACTTACGTGGTAACATTTGTTTGGAAAGAATGATAGGAGTATCAGAGTTTGTATGGGCACAGTTCAGTGGAGTTTCAGAAATGGAACACAAGTCTCTACATAACAGATCAAAAAACAGAATATTATCATTAGCCTGAATTTCTCTTCTGTCTCAACTAGATCTCTACAATAAGGTTATATTTCAGTTGAATACATGCCAAAGTTGACTACATAGACATAGGTTTATAGCTACACTATTGCAATATGGTACATTTAGATCACTAATAACTGTTTGACATTTTATTCTAATCAATTTAGTGAATTCTTTCAAATTTACCATTGACATGCATTGAGATGGTTTTAAAACTTTCCTTTATTACTGAATATTCCAAGTAGGATTCATTAAACTGCTTTATAGGATTCTCATCTTTAAATATCAAATAAGAAAGCATATAACTTTTGTAATGGTAATAGTCATGGAATTGGTTTTGTTTTTAGGGCTCCTGTGAGTAATAAATAATATCATTGTATAGAGGTATGTCTAACTTGTCCTTTGGTGATCTATGTTATAATTTCTGTTGAGTAAATTTAAAGACATGAAGTTATTGCAACATAAAATTTTATCTTACAATTTTATAGAGATACTAACCAATAGTTTTCTAAAATACTTGCAGTCCTGTCAAAATCCCCACAAATACACATGTTCGTGGTTTATCCATGTCCTCACTTAATTGCTAGTTCTTGTCATATTTATTTTAGCCTTCTGTATGGTGTATTATGCTACTTGGTAGTAGTTTCATTTGAATTTTCCTGATTATTGATGTCATTGAACATATTCAATGCTTGTATTCCCCACTAAATAACATGTCTTTTGATATTTCAGGTTAAATACTATCCCATTTTATTCTCTTCTATAACTTACTTGCATCTGTAAAGATCAATACATATATTTATCACCATGTTTCTCTGTATCACCTGTTATTATCACCCTCAGCCTCTGTCCCCTGCTGTCTGCTCCTTGTATGGAGTTATGTGTCTTTGTTTGAAAATAGCTATAAATTTTAATAAAATGTGCAATTTCATCCATAGAGCTATTATTTTTTAGAAAATATTGAATTCTTTTTAGAGCTAATGAGTAATTTTTCATAAAATATTTGATATTTATCTTGTATATCTATGTTTGAAACCATTTAAAATTTACATGTAGTACAAGGTATATAAAAAGTGGTGTTTCCTATTGCAGTATAACTGTAGATAAATTTCAGAATTTACTGAAAATGTTGGGTATTGCTTTCCTTCTCTATGCTGTCTTTTGTCCTTTCTCAGTTTAACACCACCTTATCCATAGTGATAACTTTTCCCTGCAATGTGCTGAAAATTCAACTCCTCTAGCTTTTTTAGTTCTTCACAGTCCCACAGATATTCATCTCGAAAATTATTTTGCTATCTACTTTACAATGAGTCCTGTTACTCAGAGGAACGATTGTTATAGCCATTTACAAGAAATTTTAAAGGAAAATGACAAAATAACTTCCAAAGATTTGGCAGTAGGAATAATCTTCTTGTCACAGATGATCACTGGTGTCATGGGCAATTTCTTTCTTCTTTGCAACAATATTTTAATTTTCCACCCTGAAAGGAGGTTAAGAGCCACAGATGTGATTCTGAAGCACCTTTGTCTAGCCAACGCCTTAGTTCTTCTTTCTGGAGGAGTTCCTCAAACAATGGCAGCATTTGGGTTGAAACATTTCTTCATTGATATTGTTTGTAAATGTCTCTTGTACACTGAGAGAGTGGGCAGGGGTGTGTCAATTGGTACCATGTGCCTCTTGAGTGTCTTCCAAAACATCATCATCAGCCCTATGAACTCCTGTTGGAAAGATTTTAAAAGTAAAACTCAAGAGTATATTGCATTCTCTATTCCCTTCTGCTGGGTCCTAAACATGGTGGTCATTTTAATTATTCCTCTGTATGCACTGTATTTGTCTGCAGAAGGTTATGACAGACACATGACAAAGAAAATATATGTAGGATACTGTTGTGTTGTTGACTATAGAGTACTCATGGGCTCCATCTATATAGCATTAGTAGTTTTCCCTGAAGTTTGTTTTTCTCTGCTTACAGTCTGGGCCAGTGGCTCTATGATTTTCATCCTGTACAGACACAAGCAAAGGGTCCAACACATTCATATCACTAATGTTTCCTTAAGATCTCCTGAGTCCAGAGCCACACAAAGCATCCTTTTTCTGGCTATCACCTTCATATCTTTTTACACTCTGTCTTCAATCTTTCGAGTTTCTATTATTGTAGTTAATGATCACAGTTCATGGTTGGGTAGCACTGCTGATGTAATTTCTTTGTGTTTTCCAGCAATCAGCCCCTTTCTGATCATGAGCAAACTTTCCTCTATGTTTATACACTGCTTTGCAGGCATAAGAAGCAGAAAACTTTTCTAATCTTTTCAGAAATATGCAAATTGTAAGTTGTATAGTCTTCATTTTTTTCTATGGGCTAATGCAGAGAGGCCATGCATCCTGTCTCGATCAGCAAATGGTTTTTCAGCTCACTTAAACAGGACCTCCATAGTAGAATGCTAGATGTTAATAATACAGTTTGGGCCCCTTGTGTTATATCCTCCTCGGTTCATATCCATCTGAATGAAGTGTTGCTTGAAACTATTTAAATGGACTTAGTCCATTGTGTGGATCAATCGAAATATTTCTTGCTTATGGAAACTTTTGGCACAAGTGAATACAATGTAGAATTATGTCAAAGACACTTTTCAGTGACAGTTCTCTATGAGTTTCCTGTGTCAGTGTGACTGTTGTATGATCTAGTTTTGCCAGTTGCTTTCTTTTCACGACTGCTTTAGTTCCCCTGCAATGTGCTGAAAATTCAACTCCTCTAGCTTTTTTAGTTCTAATAAGGAACCTTAGACGATTGAGGCAGTGTCAATGTTTAGGGCAGAAAAAAAGACATTTCCTGTTTAAGTGGAAATAAGACTCCAGCCAAGGAATAACAATACTGAAGGCTACAAATATATTGGAATTCCTGAAGAATGGATTAGCTCTTTGAAGATTTTGTTACAGAAAAAGTAAACAAGCAAATACACAAAGTCTCCTTCTCTACATGTATCTGATACTGTGATACTCTCCATCCTGTCAGGAATCTTAAAAATTTTCCAGACTCACAGGCTGGATCAAAGGAAGTTCAAGAGTAAAGGAGAAATCCTTGAAAAGTTAAGTGAGGACTTGTGTCTTGTACTGGCTGCGCTAAATGTCATGTACCCATACACCATGGATTTTGTGTCCTAGTGTTTGAGGTAACTCATTGTTTTCAAAACAGCTTGTTCATAACTCAGTGTGAAAGACATTTTGCAATCTGCCTTCTCCCCTTTACTATGCCCCAGACACCATGTCCTCCATGAAATTCAACTGCAGACTTCATTTACTAGACATGTGATGGTATCCAAGTTCTGGGTATTGTAGGGAGGGCAGACTGAGTATATGTGTTTATATGGGTTACCATGGACCAATGGTTCAAGAATAAGAATGTTGTCCATGCTGAAAACAGAGACAACCAAACATGCTGAAATCAGGACACCACCAAGGGAAGAATGTGTAAGTGGAACTTTCCAATCCCAATGGAGAGTGTGTCCACTTTAGACACAGTTGGGTTAGAAAAGTTGTGGTTTCTGTGCTCTCAATTCTGATGACGAAGCCTCTTGGGTTTCACATGCCACAGAGTACGTGCTTTAACTCATCTCATGGTTGAGGAGACTAAGATCATGCACCTATATTGGCTCACTTTATTTGAGGGTCACCTTCGCTTCACAATTGGAGAAGATACATGGCAAGAGGAAGAGACCACAGATGAGAGAGAAGGTAATAGAGCTGGAATGGTCTGCTATAACAGACCATTCTTGTTCTCCTATAACAAGTGCCTCCGGAGAACTAACTGTGATCCCATAAGGACTACTATGGTGGGCCAGACCTCAGTATTTGCCCCTGCACTTCCAATGTACTTTCCCTAGGTGTTTTACACACTTCTAAAGCAATACTAGACGTCATCTTTCATAAGTGTTTTCATGAAATTGACCAAAAGTTCATTGTCTCTTTTTGCCCAGTGAAATCGAATGAAAAGTTAGGCTCGTACAACAGTACAGTATATCCATATCCATTTTGTTCACTGGATCTAGCACCATGCCATTTGTCCGTCATCCTCACAATCAAAATGGCCATGAAAGCTAAACATTTTGAATTGATTTGGTACCTTGAGGAAGGCATGGCCACAGAACTAAAGATGTGGACAAAAGAGGACTTATATTTGGGCTTCAGAAAGTGTAAAAATATTGCATATGTCTGTTTGAAATGATGGAGAGCATTTTCAATGGGATTAATGGGAATGTATCATTTACCCTAAATTTTTAAAAAAATATTTTACACATCCATTTTATTTTTTGTTCATACTTCATACATCCTTTGGTTCAGTGCTTGTCTGTTTTAATCACAGGACTATAGGCAGGTGTGGTGGTACATGCCTGTAATCTCACAACTCAGGAGGCGGGGGCAAGAAGATTACCTTGAGATCAAGCCAGCCTGGACTGCATACGTGTTCAAGGCCAGCCTGGACTACATAGTGAGACCATGTCTCAAAGACAAAATGAACAAAAACAAGAAGGAAAGAAAAAGAAAACAGAGACAATCACAGGACTTATAATTATTGTTCTGTATTATTATGGGTATTTTTCATACTAACATGTTGGCTTCACCAACTTGGTAGATTGGCTTTCCCAAGAGCTGTGAAATGAATAGATTATAACTCCTCTTCCAATGGGGAAACATGGGTAACTGTTACATGAGGGATATGTTAATGTGTTCTATTTTAGTAACTGTTTACTATATTTAAAATATGTAGATCTTATAATATCATATTGGATACCTTCATGTATGCATTCAACTTTATTTTATAAAAATTGAGGAAGTATTTGAATCAATGTATTTGTATGAACATGGAACTGGACAGCAAATGCAGAAAAAGGTGCTCATAATCAGAGACCTTCAGTAAACCACACAGATTTATGTCCAGACAACTTCTGAGATGGCTAAAGTCTGTAAAGAAGAGATTATGAATTGAAAGAATGTGATGCAAAGAAAGTTTTTGTGTACTCTCAATGATTCTGTAAATAGGTATGGCCAGTGTGGATAAGAATATGATGAGTCCTCAAAACATTAAAATTGAAACTAAAGTTTTGTGCAGCAATCTCATTTCTGGTTTTGTAACCAATGGGAAAAGTCAGTATCTGAAAGAGATATCTGCATTTCTGTGTTCACTGCAGCACTACCCACATCAGCCAAGAAATAGAAACAAGCAAGATTCCTTCAATGGGTCAGTGGATATAAACAATATGGCGGGCATATTTATATAGAATGGAGGGTTACTCAGGCTTATAAATAGTGAAACACTGCACTCTTGATGACATAAGGAACCTGAAGGTCAATGTGGTAAATTACGTAAATTGGAGATTAAAAGACAAAAAACTACAGATCTTTCTTACAAGTACAGTCTAAAAAAAACCCAAGTTTATAGAAACAGAGAACACAATAATAGTTGTTATAAGTTAGGTAGGTGGGAAATGGGAGAAGTTCATCAGTACTATATTATAACATAGAAAATTTCTAGCAATTTAACCATGGTGCTTAAAGATTTCTAGTGTCACCATAAAACAGTGATTAGAGCAATAAGACAGGAGACAAAGCAAAAAAAGATATACTATGTTCATCAATTAAAAGAATAAAAAAAGCTACATAAACTGTGAACAAAGTGAATAGATAACCTATAGAATGGGAGAAAGTACATTTATTTTTTAATTTAAAGAAATAAAAGTAGATACTAATAAAGAATATATAAATTATATTTTTCCATAAGAAAAATAAAACAAAATTTATAACAAAATAATTACAGAATCACAACAGTTGTTACACTGTGTAATAATCTAAGCAATGTAAACATCATATGCCTTCCCATGAGCTAAGACCTATAATATCAATAAGAATGTAAAAGTTGGTAGAGGAACCAGAGAAAAGGGGAGGGAAGGGAAAGAAGATTAGGCAAAAAACAGGCTCTAATATGTACATGTAACCACTCCCCAAGATGCTGTAACTGTGTAAGTTGCAAACATGTACTAATAAAATAAAAATTTTTAAAGAAAGATAAAGAATGTCCAAAATCTTACAGAGTTCAACTCATAGGCAAAATGACTGTCTCTTACAAAGAAGAAGCAAAAAAAATTAAAGGACATAATTTTCTTTTCAATGAGCAAAGACAAAGTAATAGTATGAGAATCAAATTAGCATTTATGTTAAGTTAGTTTTGAAAAAATGGAATAGATATTTTAGGGAATTACTCAAACTTTCCTTACATTCTATGTATGTTCTATTATGTTCTATCCTCTCATTCTCTCTCTCTCTCTCTCTCTCTCTCTCTCTCTCTCTTTCTCTCTCTCAGAAGCTATAGTTATGTGTTTGACTTATAGCACATAATATTATGTTCTCAAGTTTCATTGATTTGCCTATGAATGGCTAAATTTTATCTTTATTTATGGCTACACAGTACTCCACTGGATATAAACACCACATTTACTTTATTCATTCATCCTTTGAGGGACATAATGTATTTCCAAGATCTAGCTATTATACAGTGTGCTGCTATTAACATGAATATCCACGTGTCCCTGTAATATGATGACTTTAACACTTTTGAGAAGTTACCTAAAAGAGAGAGATGTAGCAAAATGAATTTCTATTTTTACTTTTTAAGGAATTTCCACACTGATTTCCATCGTGGTTGCAGTACTTTAAATTCCAAGCAACAATGTCAAAGAGTTTATTTTTCCCCCACATTCTTGTCAGCTTTCTGAATTTTTGATTTTTTTGATGATGGCCATTCCTTATTGGGCAAGATGTTGTCTCAGTGCAGTTTTAAACTGCATTTCTCTAATGCTTTGAGAGGTTGAGCATTTTTATGCATTTATTGGGCAGAGATACTTCTGAGAAATGTCAGTTCACTTTGATTACCCATTTTCTGTTGAGGTTGTTTTATTGGGGGCATTGTAAAATTTTGTGTTGTTTGCCTATTGTACATATTAGCCATCTATCCAAGGAATGGCTGGTAAAAGATTTCCCCAATATATGTAGTTGTGGCTTCATTCTGTTGGTTGTTTTTGCTGTGCAGAAGCTTTTTAATTTGTTATGATTCCATTTGTTGCTCCTTGCATTATTTCTTCTGCCACTGGTGTTTTGTTCAGAAAGTACTTGCTCACCTATGTCTTCAATTGTTTTACCTATTTTATCTTCTCACAGGTTAAATGTTTGTGTTTTGACATTTACACATTTGATATATTTTGATTTTAATTCAGTACTTGGGGAGTTATGGTTCCAGATTCAGTCTTCTATGT